CAGAGGCCCAACCACCAAGGAGCTGTTCAACTGCCTCAGTGACCTCGGCCCCAGTGTTGGGCTTCTCTGCTTTTTCTATAGAAGACATGTCAGCTGCTTTACCGCCCTGTTATGTCCTCCTATCACGGTTCTGGGTCAGTTTTGGCCCAGTATTTTTAGTTCTTATGTTTTGGTTTATTTTTGCATCATGAGTTGCTTTTTGATGCTCTTGTGCTTTGTTGATTATTAAAAGGATTCTATGTTTCTGTTTATTCGTGTTTAAGGATTTGTTGCCTCATGTATAGTTTGAGTTCCATGTGTTATTTTCTGTCTGCCTCTCAGTGATGGTTTCTTGTTTCCTGTTTTATTGTGAAAGTCTGTGTCTTATGTGAGTGTTTTCAGTTTGCCTCCCTTGTCTCCGCACGTTAATTACTTCCAGCTGTGTCCCCCACCTGTGTGTAATCTCCCTGTGTTTCTCTGAGTGCATTTAAGTCTTCTGTTGTTGTAGTCGCTGGTCCATCTGTGTGTCCACCGTGCTTCCTCTGTGTGTTCTCCCTGCTGTCCGTCGTCATTTACCTCTGCCCTTCCTCCTTCATGTTTGAGTTCTGGTTCGTGTTTTGTAGTTTAGTTGTTCTCAGTTTAGACCGTCTGCAGTCCCGTTTGCCATTTTTCTATTTTGTACTTTGTGTTCAATAAACCACCTTCACGCCTTTACAAGTGGCTGCGATTGGATCCTCCTTCATCATCTCCACACGGCTCATCTCACTCGGCGTGACACCTCCGTTGACATCAGCAGCACTCCACCCTCGTATACACTCAGTTCATTGACTGCTGGCGAGAATATCATTGAGGCAGACTAAAAGTCTTTTTCCACAGCCTCACCAAACTCATCTCATAGAGGAGTTTTTGCTCTGGCTACCACCCAATAAGATTACAAAATGAATTGTAATTAATCGATCTGAGTCCGAGGGCATAGTGCCAACTCCTTATGTTTGTACAATCAGTTGGTGTGGACAAATTGATATTTGCACAGAATTCCAATAAGAAAACATGGCTTGGATCCAGATCAGGCAGGCCATTTTTTCCAGTTACTGCCCTCCAGGTCTTGCTGTGCCCACGTGAGTTTTGAAGTCTCCCAGTAGGATGACTGAGTCACCAGTTGGAGCACCATGTGACTCCAAGAAGGCCAAGTACTGTAACTAGTGCATAAGTGCAAAAGACATTCAGGACCCATTTGCCCACCCAAAGGAACAGGGGAAAAAACCCTCTTGCCCGTTGGCAAAACCCCTAATGATTGTGAAGTCAAAATCAGATAAGGGAAGCATGAGAGATATTTACTTTGATTACACAAATATTATGGAGGAGTAGTAATGGCTTATAAATAACTGGATGTGAATAACTTGCAGTTATTACATATAATACTATACTACAGTGAATTTTTAACTAAGAGGGTCCTTTACTCTCACAACAATACTTATGTATTGGAGTCATTGTTTAAACCCAAACACCCATCTCCTTCATGCGGCTGCCCAAGGCTGACACTGGCTAGAAGAACAATTCTCCTTGATAACAGGACTGTGTTTGGACCATCTGCTCCTTCAAGGTCACCTACATCAGCTGGAGGAATGCTGACTTTTGCTCAACCGGGTGAAAGGATATTCTCTCTCAAGATGAACACAGGAAAACACACCCACGCAAATCTCGTGTGTACACTGACACAGACATGCACTCACCCCCCTCCCTCCTCCCAACGCCTCCCAACGCTTACACCCACCCGACGTATGCAGGCGGATGTAAGATGTGAAGATTTATGTGCTTTCTGTGCTGAGGTGTTTTTTTCTGTTCTCGACTGCTCTCCCCTAGGAGCTCAGTCTGGGAGGAGTTTTTTTTCTCCTCCTCTTTTCTCATGTAATGTGTATTTGCCTAGTTTTTTCGTACCTCTCTGTCTTCCCACTACCTCTCTGTTTGTGTATTCTACGTATGGTAGGAAGGGGTGCTCATGATGGCATCGTATTCTCTGGCAGCCTTTAAAACAATTTCCCTTGAAATATCAATCAATCAATCAATTACCACACAGACAAGGGTCCTCAATCATGAGGGATACTCTCTGCAACATCTGGACATAGCCAGTGGCTGTTTTACGGCCCCCACATAGAAAACACCTCAGGTGGGATCTGTTTGTCATGCTGGTTTGAAACCATCAGGACCATCAAGTTACATTTCATCTCATCAGAGAATAAAACTTTCTTCCACCTTTCAGTGTCCCATGTTTGGTCCTCTCTTGCAAAGTCCAAATGGTCAGTCTTGTGGCGTTCAAGGAGACGCGGCCTTTGAAGACATTTTTTTTAAGCTCTTCAGTCTCAGATGCCGTCTGATGGTTATGGGGCTGCAGTCGGTACAGGTAACAGCCTTAATTTGGGTCGAGGATTGCCCAGTATCTTGACGGACAGCCAAAAATTTTTTACCAGTATTGAGCCGGAGGATCCACTCTGGCTCAATACTGGTAAAAATTTTTTGACCATTTCTGCTGTCACAGAGTAATTCCAGCACATATTTAAGTAGGTATGACGGTGTGCCACTTAACTTTGCCCGTCACAGTATGCTTGTAGCTCATATTCATAAAGCCAGGACGATTTGCCACTTCATTTTACCCGTTAAAGTATGCTTGTAGGTAACATTCAAAAAGGTAGCCTGGTTTGGCACTTAATTTTACCTGTCAGAGTATGTTTCTAGCTCTTATTAACAAAGGCAGGATGATTTGCCACTTAAGTTTAGCTGATAAAGTATGCTTGTAGGTCACATTCACAAAGGTAGGATGGTTTGGTACTTAATTTTACCTGTCAGAGTATTTTTCTAGCTAATATTCACAAAGGTAGGACAGTTCGCCATTTAATTTCGTGTTGTGCGCATGTGCAGAAACATCGGGTAGGATGGTTTGTCAGGTAGGATGGATTCCCAGAACACCTGGCAAGCACAGGGGACTCCCGGCAAGTCCAGACTCGCCGAGAACGCGAGTACGGACTCGCGTACTGATGCAAGTGCTGCAAAGTTAAAAACAGTCCCTCTGTCCAATGACACTGTTGCCAGACGTATAAAGGACATTGCTAACATTAGATAAACTCAAAGACAAACGTTTTGCCTTACAATTTGATGACACAATTGACAGCAACAAAGACTGTTTGTTTATTACTTATGTACGATTTGACATGACTAACCCTGTGTCAGGACCTGCTTTTTTGTAAAAAGGTCAGAGACAGAGCCACAGCTGAAGGATGATTCAAAATGCTGGACTGCTTCCTGGCTGAGAATGGGCTAAAGTGGGAGAACTGCATTGGTATTTGCAGTGATGGTGCACAAAACATGGCAGGGGTGAGAAAAGGACTCACCTAAAACTGAGTGGACACACTGTATTATACACACAGAAGCACTGGCATCAACCTCTGAATTAAGTGAAGTTATGACTGAAATTATAGGTGTAGACAATTTTATAAAGACCAGACCAATAAAAACAAGCGTGTTCTCTGCTGTCTGTGAGGAGATGGGAGCCGAACATCAAGCTGTGCTGTTTCACAGTGAAGCAAGGCAGCTGTCACCAGGAAAAGTCTTGTCCCGACTTTTTGAGCTCAGAGAGCAGATAAGAATGTTTTTGGAGCAGGAGCACAAGTGCAAAGTTGCAGAAAAATTTAGTGATGAGACCTTCTTGGCAAAACTGGCTGGCCTGAGTGGAAAGTTAAATGAACTAAATCTACAGCTTCAAGGGAAAGATAAAAACCTCCAAGGGACAAGATCAACTCTTTCACTTGAAAGCTTGCAACGCGAGGCAGGCGAGTTGATGAAGGAAACACAGATTCATTGAGAACCTGCATGAATTTGTTGAAACTACTGACTATGATGCCGCCTCAGTCACTCCATATATTAAGCAGCATATTCCATCATTGATGGGATACTTTAAAGAGTACTTCCATGAAAACAGTTCCCAGTATGACTGGGCGAGAGATCCTTTCAAAGCACCAGCTTCAACTGGTTTCAGCTTTGCAGAGGAGAACCAGTTCATTGACATGACGCGACGCCTGACTCCACACTGAGACTGCAGTTCACATCACAGACACTGAGTGAATTCTGGTAGAGAAGCAGTATCCACTCTGAGGGCAGAAGGCTGTGGGCGTTCTTCTTCCTTTTGCAACGTCTTTGTGAGACTGGCTTCTCTGCTGTTGCTGCACTGAAGACAGGTCCCAGCTAAACACTGAGCAGGAGGTGAGAGCTGCAGGATCCTGCTTCAAACCCGCTTAGAAAAGATGTGCACTGCAAAACCTGCTCATTGTAGCCATTAATCCTGACTTTTGTTTTATTCATTTTTGTTTTTTGTAGGTTAAAGTGTTTAATATATTGTGCTCCTGATTTAATGTTGCTGATCAGTTTGAATTCATTATTATTATTATTATTTATTGAGTTTGATCAATTTTATTTTTCAAGTCGGTCAAAAAATGTTCAAAGTTTAAGTAAGGATTTAATTTCTTTTTTAATTTCAGGCAAATTGTTGCAATTTTTTCTCTTACAGACTAAAAAACAATGTTAATAAAGTTATTTTTTGTTGTAAGTTGATCTACAGTGTATTTCTTTCTTTTTTGTGTCTTTAATGTAAATAAGGATAAAGTGTTAAAGCGAGGTGTACATATAACAATTTTATAGACAAATGATACTTTTTATAGTTGTGGGGGGCGCAAAATGTTTTTTTCTTCCCGGGGGGGCATAAGAGAAGTCAGTAAGAAGCATTGGTTTAAGCTAATATGTTAAATATTGACATTAAAATGAAATGAATAAAATATATTGTGTGAATATATAATTAGACTGAGATGTGAACACCATTAGTCTCAGTACTGCTCCCAGGTCAGTGAGCTGTGTATCGATGTGTTTGACAGTGGTGTGAGTATCCAGAGCCACCTCACAGTACAAAGTGCAGTATTTAGTGGGGTGTAGCTGCAAGGTCACAGATTGCAAGCAATTACAAACACCAGTCTGAGTTAATTTATCAGGAATATTTTATAGTGATCTACAAGGAAAATTACTGTTACGTCATTAATGTGCAGGCTTTTGTATAGTACTGAATCACAAGCTCATAACAGGTTTTTAAAGCTCAATCATTAAAGTCAGTTTTGAGCAAAACAGTGAAGTAAAATGTGTAATATTTCCTGTGATATATACTGAACACTGAGTTTCTGAAAACATTTTGTTGCTCTTGATTCCACGAGAGCAGCGATTCCGTCTTCAGTCTACAGACAGTGTAACCCAGCGTCTTCATTGTGGTTGCAGTCATTAACACCGATTTTACCTTGAGGGCAATCAAAGATATTGTCCTCGGCTCCTGTGCACCGCAGCTCGTCCAGCCAGATCTTGCCAGACCCTACAGAAGGAAAGAAGTGTTAGAGCAGACTGGTGTTGTGCTGTTTTTCTCTGACCCAGTGTTTTAGGCTTATGAACTATGAGTTTTTGTGAGTGGGCTCTTTTTTATTTGACAGATTTTTATCAGCCAAAATAAAGGCTTACTTTCGTTTTCTTCACTTTGTCTCTGTTCATCTTCATAAAGGTTCTTTATCTTGTGATACTATGACATAAACCACCTGCTTGCTTTGACAGTCCCTATGTTTACTTTTTTAATATATTTTTAGTTCCTATAAATTCTGTGCTACACTTACAACCTGTGCACACATTTTACATTCACCTGGAATTAGATGTGGCTTTATGAATTTATGCTATATTTTATGAGATTTCCTACTATTTGACCATGAAAAGTCAACATCTTATTATTTGATTTCTTTGGAATTTGGGAATAGCATTTTAGATAAATTACATAAATAAATAAATAAATAAATAAATAAATAAAATAAGGTTCTAGCAGTAAGATTGAGATTCATTGAAAACATTAGATGACAGAGTGGGCTTGGTACCTGGGGCGGCAATAAAGGTGGAATGGACAGTCTGGAAGCCCAGCATCTTACAGATCACCAAGCCATCCACACGGTCAAATCTGTCATCACACACAGTGCCCCAGATATTGTTGTGCTTCACTTCCACTCGTCCTTGGTTTTTTCCTGGCACAAGACGCACAGTCACTGTGGTGGACAAAGTTGAGGTGACAAGATTAACAGTGGGTTTTTGTTGTTGCTGGAATCATTGTTGTTATGAAAGAGATCAGGATGGTTAACAATGGTAAAAATGTCCCTGTGAGACATTTAGTTGGTTTGCATTTCATAAATGACAAATCTGGAAATGCTAACTGACAAACACGCTGCATTTTCTGTGACTACTTCACAAAAAGCCAACTTGTGTTCTGGCGATTAAATATTTCTGCTGTGAGATTTACTTACCTGGATGACTGAGCATGCATCAAGATATTTCTGCTGTGATATAGCAGCCATACTTGTTGAATCACTATGTGCTGCATGCTATTTTCATCAGTACAAATCTAATAACAAACACGCTAAGGCTTTTATTTTCTCTCTGTCAAAAATGGTTAATGTCCCTTTAGACATTAGAATACCTTTAATACATTTTTTAATGTTTAACATCTGAGGTTTCTGAAGCTATCGCTGCTCTCAGGTCAGCATGAAGTGCACTTACACTCTGTTCCCATCTCTCCCTTCTCTCCTTTGGTACCTGGTGGCCCAGGAAGACCTGTGGAGAAAAGATTAAAGCTGACATATGAAATTACAGTAGGCCCATAATTTATTAGACAAAGACATATTTCTCCCAGTTTTGCTTTTGTACACCACTACAATAGATTTTATATCACGATGAATATTTGACTGCAGTGCAGACTTGCAACTTAAATTCAAAAGGTTTTACAAATCTTTGCATTATACACTGTCCCCTACAGAAAACAGCTGAAGTGCATGATGACAGAAAACAAACATCTACAACATCTAAGTCAACAAGGTGTCAGTCATGGACCCAAATGTATCTATCACAAACAGACTGAAGCTTATACATAATTTTATTAAGGAAGATCTACAATCAAACATCTGTCTGCTTCCTGGGCGCTTGGCGCCTAATTTGTGCTTTCATCACTTCCACTTTCCCACACTTTCAAGCTCATTGCTGACATCACAGCTCTAGTTCAGTCATATTTCTGCCTGCCTTCTTCAAGCCAATCAGCCTCCAATCTGCTTACTGGTCATCTGTCATTATGTTCAATTCATTATAAAGATCTTTGTTTACTGAACTGGCTCTCACATTAAACTTCCCTGTATGAGATATCTCTTATAGATGTTGCCTAGTGGAACTTTTCTAACAAAACCAGCTCTTTTTGTGGAATATGTAACCCCCAGAAAAAGTAAGGAAAAACTAAGCTTCCAGTGTGTGAGAGAAACAAGACTCCAAGTCATATTTTCTCCATCTTTTATGGAAGCCCGTTTCCACTACAAAAAAAAAATAACACGTATCCATAACTCGAAATTTTGAGCTACTTTCTTTAAATTTCGACTTATTAACTTGAAATTTCAAGAAACATAGCTCGAAATTTCAAGTTACTTTTCTCAAAACTTTGAGTTAGCTCTGCCAATCAGCAATCAACGTGAATGAGGTCACTTTCTTGTTACCCGGAAGCATATGGCGCAGACTAACGCGCAAAACCGGATCGCAACAAATTGGCGCTTTAGCGAGTGCGTTTGCTGATAGTAACACCATGTGATTCAGCCAATAACACAAGGATTTTATCATTTTTGAAGCCAAGCTGAAAATACTCAGCAATCTGTGCATTCATGACTGGATGCAATACCGGTAGCTTACCTGAGGGCTTCAGCTTCCGGGTAACAAGGAAATGACGTCATTCACGTAGATTACTGATTGGCAGCGCTAACTCGAAATTTTGAGTTAACAAGTCGAAATTTTGAGAAAATAAGTCGAAGTTTTGAGTTATGGATCCTTTTTTTAGTCGTGGAAACGGGCTTGTTGATTAAATGTGCTTACCTTGTGTTCCATTGTAACCACTTGGCCCTCTAGGACCTGTCGTGAAAATGACAAAATGAAATCTCATGAAAGAGAAAAACACAATCAGCACAAACATATAAGAACATGGATTGGTATGGGTTTAACAAATACTGTTTTAAAACACTGTTTCACATTAGTCACACTGTACACACACGGTATTCACAGCACTTCACTTGTTCCATATTTTGTCATGTCAGAGACTTTTTCCAAAATAGCGTGAATTCATTTTTCGCCTGATCATTCTTCAGTTTCCCACAATGACAAAGTTTTAAAAAAGTCTGAAAGTTTCAAATTCTCACAAATTTATTAAAAATAAAAACATAACAAAACATATGTATTAACGCTGAAAACTGACCTCAGGTGCATCCTGTTTCCCCTGATAATTTGTCAGCTGTTACAACTTGAAAGTTTTAAATTTAGTTGGTTGGACATGATTGGGAAAAGTACATGTCTGTCTAAGGTCCCACAGTTGACAGTGCAGGTTAGAGTCCAAACCAAGCCATGAAGTCCAAGCACTTGTCTGTAGACCTCTGAGACAGGATTGTGTCGAGGCACAGATCTGGGAACGAGTACGGAAGAATTTCTGCACCACGGAAGGTCCCAGTGAGAACAGTGGTCTCGATCATCCATAAAGACGTTTGCAACCACCATGACTCTTCTCAGAGCTGGAATCCTGATCAGTCTGAGTAATTGGGATTGGTGGGCCTTAGTCAGGGACAACACAATGGCCAAGAAGCCAATGATCACTTTACCAAACATCAAACAAAACAACAAAACAACGGCCTCCACACGGCCAAGATAACAAAGGAGTGGCTTCAGGACCACCTGTGAACGTCCTTGAGTGACTCAGCCAGAGCCCAGACTTGAACCCACTGAATATCTCTGGAGAGATCTGATAATAGCTGTGCACCAACACTTCCCATCATGCCCAGTAAAGCCCGAGAGGATCTACTAAGAAGACTGGGAGAAACTGCCCAAAAAAGTGTGCCAAGCATGAAGCATTATACTTAAAAGACTTGCGACAGTTCTGCCAAAGTTACACCAGAAAATGTATTCAGCAAAGGCTGTGAATGTTTATGCACGTGTTATATTTTTGTTTTTTATTTTTAATAAATTTGCAAGAATTGCAAGAAAACTTTTGTCACTTTGTCTTATTGGGTATTGAGTGTAGAACTTTGAGGTGAAAATGAATTTAATTCATTATGGAATAAGGCAATAACTTGTCAAAATACAGCACAAGTGACACGCTGTGATTATTTTTTTGATACTTTGATTAGTTGATTAGAATGGTTTATTTGGAGAGTTTTAGTCAGGTTTCAGAGCTCATCACAGCACAGAAACAGCTTTAGTGAAGGTTACAAATGATCTTCTTATGGCCTCTGACAGTGGACTCATCTCTGTGCTTG